ACAGATATGCTAATTATGTTAAATATGATATAAATGATAATAATGACAGATATAATAAAGATATAATAAATGATATTTGTGTCCTATTTGGCAGATCTGGCATATTTGGCATACATATCATATTCATCAGGTCTGTCAGTTTCTGCCAGTTTCAGCATAAAGTAAAAAGATTTTTAAGATATATTAGTTATTGCATGTTAGATTATTTGTATCAGTTGATTAACTTATTGAATGCTATTTCTTTTATATTATTAAAGTTTAAATTACTTCTGTATAGCTTGCATTAGATGCATAGTTATAATTATTAAATTTTTTTAATACATACTTCTCATTTTTAAATCTATTATTGCTCTTCATTTGCAATTAAGAATATTTTTAAATTTATATAATACTAATAGTATCTTTTATCAATATTTTTATTTTTAACTAATAAGTATTCTAGTATTTCAGGTAAAATTAATTTCGATAAATTAATCTGTAAAAATCTTTTCAAATTTAGGATTTCAGAGATTTTAGGTAATTTTAGATTATAGAAAAATTCTCTAAACAAAATATTTCAGATGTTAAAAATTAGTTTAGCCTAAAAACATTAAGGTATTCTCTCACAATTAATTTAGGTTAGCTATATATTAAATTTACTAGTTTATAGACTTCTTAATTCATTTTAAAAAAGAATAGTAAAATAGAAGGAAAAAAATAGACTTTTTATGAAATGGAATTTTCATTCTTACAAAGAAAAATTTTCAATTTATATTATTTGCTATCTATTATTTTTATGATTGATTAATCTTTTTTTAATAATCTAATATTACTTAATTTCTATTTTTTCAGTAAAATGTTTTTTCAATAAAATGAATTTAAAGAAGTATCTATTTGGTAAAATAGATTAACAAAATATCACTTTGGTGAAGCATTCTCTTAGTAAAATATTTATTCAGCAAAATGTCTTTTTAGTAAAAAATTCATTTAGCGAAGTAGACATTTGACAAAATATCCTTTCAGTAAATTAGCTTTAATGAAGTAGGTTTTAATGAAATAAATTTAGTAAAATGTTCAGATATCAAAAAGTTTTAATAGAAATATATTTTACAATTACATAAAAAAAGTTATCAAAATTAATATATTTTTTATATTAATTAGCTAATTGAATATTTTAAATAAATTATAACCTAATATATTAAATATAATTATTAGTATAATTTAGCCTAAATTATTAAAGTTTAAATCATTATATTTATAATAATGTATGATTTATATATAAAATGTTTAAAAAGTTGACTCAAAACTAATTTTTATTTTATTTAAAATTTGATTATAATACCTTTATATTATATTTTACATAACTTAAAATATCAAATTTTATAGTTGTCATAGTTTTACCAAGCATTTGTAACTTGTTCAGATCTTTGAAATTTAAAAAAATTAATTTATTATATAATTTACTAATTAATAATTTTAGCCTTATTAACACCTAATCTTTGATTTATTATTTTAAAATCATATTTTACATAATTTAAAATTTAAATTTATTGATTTATAAAATTCACTTAAATATATGCTATATTATCTAAAACTTTTAATTCAGAATCAGCTGATTTTATATAATATGATAATTCATTTATATATGATTGATTAATGATTTTTTTTATAGAATGTAAAGGTTTTTATTTTAAATAAAAGTAAGTTTTCTATAAAAAAAATGAAAATGATAATTAATTTTTTTATTTATTAAAAAAAAACTAATGATTTATTTTTTTTATAAAATTTAAAGATTTTTATCCTTTGAGATAAGTTTTTATAATAAGAAAATAAAAATAGCAATTATTTTTTTTAAAAAAGCTAATTATCTTTTTTTTATAAAATTTAAAGATTTTTATTCTTAAATAAAAGGAAGTTTTTATAGACTTATAAAGAATATAAAGAAAATATTAATTAAAAAATTAACTTCTCATAAATAATAAAAAACTTTTAAGATTTAAAATAAAAGATAAATTTATATCCCTTAAACTTTAGAGGTTCGCAGACAAATTTGCCTGCTTATTTACTATAAATTCTCTTCTGATTTACTTTTATAAAAAACTAAAATTTTTAAATTAATTTTTTAATTTTATAATAAATAATTTAAAGTTATTTATAAGCTAAAAATTTGTAATTTTTAAAAAAGTTATAAATTAAAAAATTTTATCATTGACCTTTGATCATTTTATTAATATTTACTTTTAGTAATATTAATTATAATAGAATATTATAAATTTTATTATAAAGAATAATTTTAATTATTCCAGTTTTTATAATTTACTAAGAAATTTTATGACTTTTATTAATAGTAAAGTGATTTAATTAGTTCACAAATATATGAATTTTAAGAAAATTTTTTAAAACTTAATTTAAAAATTGAATTATTTAAAAAACTTCTTAATAAACTTAAATTTCTTCTAATAAAGTTAATATAAAATATATTAAACTATATTTTTATATAATAATTATACTATTAATATTAATATTTTATTTTTTATTAAAAAAATTAATACTTTTTTTTATGTTTGCAGGCAAATTTGCATGCTCTACAGTTTAAGGAATAAAAGAAAAATAAAGGCATCAGTTAAATTTTTTTATTGATATTAAAAAACTAATAATTTACTCATCTTTTTTTTAGTAGAATTAAAATTTTTAATTCTGATCAAAGTTAATTTCTATAGAAAAAAAAATAAAAACAGTAATTGATTTATTTAATTTATTTAAAAATAAGTTAATTGCTATTTTTTATATAGAATTTAGAGGTTTTATCTTTAATTAAGAATAAGTTTTCTTAGAAAGTATAGAAGAAGTATTAATTAATCTTTTTTTATTTTTTAAAAAATAATTTTTACTTATCTTTTATAGAATTTAAAGGTTTTAACATTTAAAATAGAAGATAAGTTCCTATATAAAGAGAATAAACATATAAGTCAAAATATTTTTATTTATAATAAAAAATAATTATATATATACTTTTTTTTAAAATCTAAAAATCTATCTTTGATTAATAATCTTTTATATTTCAAAGGTTATTGCTAATCAGAATAGGTTTTGAAGTAATTCTAAATAATAAAAAATTATATTTTTCTTTTTATTTATATTCTTTATAGGATTATTTATACAAATATTATAAAATTTAATAAAAAGCAAATAAGTTCTAAGGTTTTTGTATTATATTTTATTATAATAATTCAAAATAAATATATTTGTAAATTTATACATAAAGTTACTGAATAAAACCTAGAGGTTTTATATAGAAAAGGTAAAATTTAGTGAAATTATATTAAAACCTTTATTAAAAATTTGCGAAATTCTGAAAAAGATAAAACTATATTAAAGTTTATAAAAATGCAAAAATTTAGTAAAATAAGTTCAGATTTAATATTAACTCAAAAAAAATTTTTTTGTGAATTTTTCTTCCTTTTTATATTAATCGAAAATGAAAGTTCCTGAAACTAAAAAAGTGTTAAGTAAATATTTTTAAAAATATAATATCTAATTTATTATTAATTATTAATTATAATTAATAAATTTTGTTAATTATTTATAGATGATGATGATAATACTATGAAATAAAACTCTTATGATGAAAAGGAATAACAATAGTTTATAAAATTATTAATTCCATTAAACGAGAAATTTATGATGCTTTGTTTGATTATTTTGATACATACATCGCCTAAAACTGCTTTGCTTGCAACTCTTTTAGATTCAAGATTTAAAAAGATGCCTGAAGAAATATATTAAATACAATATCATTGTAAAAGTAGAGTATTTGTTAATAAAAAGCAAAGAAACCATAATTAAAAAAATGCAAGATCTATTTATCAGATGGGTGGGTTTAAATCGCGTTTATTTGTTTGAAGAAGATGAGATAGATAATGATGATGAGATTAATTGTTATTTGGATAATATTAGAACACCACAAGTTTCACCTGAAATGGATCCTTTTTGGTGGTGGATCGATCATAAATCAAGATTTCCAAAATTATTTAAATTGCTAGAAAATATTTGAGCATCCAGCTACATCCGTTCCAAGTGAATGGTTATTAGTGATGCTGGTGATCAAATTACTAGTGATCGAAATCGGTTGAAACTTTAACGCGTTATTATTCATAAAAAGAAACATTAAATATTATAATCCCTTTATATGAATGCTTTTATAATTGAAGTTTGAATAAGAAATTATAATAAAGATATTTTTACAGTGATTATTTATCGTATTTTTTTTATATTAACGTTTAATCGATCATTTAATATTTGAAATATTAATTATAATATCATCTAAATTATATACATGTATAATTGCAAAAAAACCTATACGCATTAAAATGCATGTATAGCGTTTAAAAATAATTTCATTGATTCATTATTTAAATTAAAGAAAATTATGATATTTATAATTCATTTATTATTTAATTATATATTTCAATATTTAACAGACGAGTATCTTTTTTTTTTTGAAAAAAAAAAAAATCTTATTTCTTACAATTTTTAATGATAAAAGAGTATAACTATACCAAATTTTTAATATAAAAATTATGTTCATCGCATAAATGATGTAAAAAAAAAAAAAGACTTTCTAATTGAAAACCAGAAAAAAAAACCAAAAAAAAAATAAAATTAAAGATTAAATTAATCATCACATCTCATTTCATACTTCCTTTTCCTATCATTCGATTTCGTTTGAATTCTTTTCGAGATATTCTCGATTTCATTTTTGATAAAAATATCATCATATCTCATAACATATCCTTTTTTCAAAAATTTAAACGATTTCTCGTATAAATTCACTTTACCAATAAACCCACACAAGAGATCTTCTAAATCTAATCCTCTTAGTTTTTTATGATTTTTAAATAATTCCTTGTTCAGGTGTTCATTGATCAAATCAACAAAGTCATTAAATTGGGTAATTTTCACATTCATTGTTAGTAGAGCCTTTCTAGGACCGGGTCCAATTTTTACATGATAAAAATTTTGAAGTTTGATCATATTCATCATTAATAGATCGCAAGTCATCTGCCAACCATTGAATAAACCAATTTGATTGATAGAAGTTATTCCAATGTACGCGTCTTCGGTGTCTGGCACATGATCTTTTGCCTTTACTTCGTTGTTACGCTTATAAATCAATTCCCAAACTTCTTTGCGTCGATCCCAGATATCACGCCAAAGTTTCACTCGAGTTTCCCATGAAATACATGATATAAATTCTTTAGTGGCGACCGTTTCGCCTCTAAACTTCCTACCCTGCATATACTCTATAAAAGATTCAATGTCGGTAATATATCCGACTTCTTTCATAATTTCTTCCCTTGATAGGTAGCTACAACATAACATAATATTTTTAGATGAGTGAAAGTTTTTATCCGTAAAATTATAAATTAGGAAAATACGAACCGATGTATCAAAATGTTTGGAAGGAAGGAATCCTCTTTCGAGGTGTGACCCTTAAGAATGACGTCTCTGATTAAAGAAGCGTAAAATCCACATTCCCTATAACCCTTTTTAAATAAAGAATTAGTTAAATTAAATAATTAATGTTTAATCGAAAATGATTAAAAGAGCTAATCATCCATTTATGATATTTTTACCTGAACTTTACAACCATGTGCCTTTTCTCTCTCATCTTTAACGAATAAAAAAATGTGAAATTTCCAATGAACAAAATAAATGAAAGTTTGAATCCAAAATTCATCTATATTCATTCCAGTTTTAAAATGTTTTTCAATTATATATTGAATATTAAAGTCATCAAAAAAGCATTCATCAATATTTGGAATATGATATTGTACCATTTTGGTATATCGAGAAAAACTTTGATGTAATTGAGATTGATTTTCATCTGGAAGTTGGAATTTATAGAGCGGAGCGACAATGCCAAGTTTGTAAACAGGAAATTGATCCACATGAATTCTAACAGGTTTTTTTTTTTTATTTAGAAAAAAAATTTTTTTACATCAAATCTGATCTTTCCAACCCGTCGAGAAGAAGGAAAACACTGGAGATAATAACCCCGATTCCATATCAAACTTGATCTAACAATACATTGCATGGCATTGTGTGTATAATATAACACAAACAAAATCGCTGTGAGCAAACTTATTGATACATTTGCACATCATCATGTGGCAACAACCGTACGACCTTCGAATTGAGTCCATTTTTTTTAATGGCGCAGTAATCGCAACTAGGCCGAGCGTAATTACCACCGCAATCACTCAGCATTAATCGATGAAGCGATCGAACCTAATGTTTATTTAATCAACGAGAGGATTTTAAACAATACTTACACATAAATTCGCATGCGTTCAATATGATCGTCCAACTGTAAAATCCTGTGTAATGAAAAGTAAATAGTGATATTTTTAATTTTAGTAAAAACCAAAACCAGTCAGAATCGGAAACTCTGACGTCGAGGAGTAATGTTAAGCAAGAGGTTCTTCTTTCGACAAACCAATCTGCAATTAAAATTTTGCATTAATGAACATTTTTTTGAATTCTATTAAAAAAGATCCATGATTCTTTTTTTTTTTTTTTAAGAATATTTGAAACTTAAATTTGAATTTAATAGGAAACCAGGACAATATGATGCTTGTTAAGCCCAAATTCGTTAATGACCGAAATGCGCCGCATCAGGGCCCCGATATATCCGATTTAGTTACCCCCATTCAATAAAGATCGTCGAATTTGTTGATTTACGTCATTTCGATTAATAATATAATAACTATAAAGATTCTAAAAATGGTTGCGTATGAAAACCATCTTTGGACTTACTAGCCATTATTCTCCTGATTCTAGAGAAAATTGACATGATACGGACTAGATGGTCATTTCTTCAAGGATTCTATGACAAGAATGCACCATAAATTATTGGTTCAACAATTTCTCCTACGAATAATGCTTCTGCAAGTATGAGAAAGTGATCATTTATATTTGATAAAAAAAGTCGATGAAGCCAACGTTAAAATAATTATAAAATGTAGTAACGCAATAACTATAAAATGATTTATATCCTAATGTCATTGAAACTAAAAATTGGCCAACATAACCATACTTCTGGTCAACCGGGAAAATTATTTGCAAGATAATTAATAATAGAAGGCCGATTCAAAATCATTCATTCATTCTTTTTTTGTAAACAAGCTGAGTTTCATCCAGATAAAATGAGTCTCATTTAAGTCAACAAAAATTAAAATGATTTCTGTAATCATTCGAGTTCGTTTGAATTAAAACCTACAATATATAAAAAAGGATAGGTTTCAAGGTCTTGTTCAAAACGGTTTCAACCTTCCTGCCGATCAATGAAATAACGTGTATAAATTGTTATATAATGGCATTAATTTATTGACAATATAAATAAAAAAAATTTGTATCATAACGTGAAACAATGTAAATTTTTTTTAATTCAATGATTGATTCAATTGAGGATAAAAATTAAGCTTGATATTATGCAAGCATTTCATATTATTTATTTGCATTCATCAATTTCACATGGACAAACGATTCATACGTTAAGAATCTGGTTTATTTCATATCTGATATTATTATTACATTTGATATATATACGTTAATATTACATTATAAAAAAAAATTACGTCACTATATTGAACCATTAAAAATAATCTCAAAAATAATTGTGTAAGAATAAAAATTAAAATACAAATAAGACTTTTTACAATTTTTTATGTTTTCAAAGAATTATTAGAATTATTACTGTTATTTCTCGAGTGGATAGACTTATTATCGATTTTCATTGATAGTACAACATCATTTAGCTTTTCGGGTGTTTGTATCATCTGGAGATACCTTTCCCACGTGTCGGACTTTCGATACACTGGCAATGTTGTCTCTTTATTAAATACTGGCCTTGGTATTATTAATTGCGTTATATTATCGAATTTCTTTGTTGGTTCTCCTAACTTATTCGACTTTTCCACAGGCTATAAGTTCAGAAAGTTCGTTAAATTGATATCAATACACATGCACTTTTTGTTCTTCTTAAAAAAAAAAAAAAAAAAAAAAAAAAAAATATTCTTACCAGTACACTTTTCTTATTTTTCAACCATCGATTAATTAGTAAACTCACAGAAATTATTATAACACCTATAACCACCAAACTAATAATAACTGGCAGGTTGAGATTATCTTGTTCATTTTTTCTAATTGATGCCATCAAAATTCTTCTTTTTGTCGTGAATATGCTTATAATATTTTTTTTTCCGTTATCTTATCTTCCGTTTAAAAAAACAATTTGACTTTTGAACAAATTAAATAAATAAAAATTTTCAGTGTTGTTTATCTCGTATATAAAATCAAAATCCAGTGATTTTTTTTGAGTAGAAATTTCACGGAAAAAAAATTAGAATTTTCTTTTTTTTTTGTTTATAAAAAAAAAAAAAGACAAAGAAAAAATTATTTAAAGGAATGTAAAAAAAAAAAAAAAAAAATTTCAATGATACTGGCACAAAAAAGAATGAGATGGTTTTTTTTAAGAAGTTCATTTACTTTTATATTTGAATCACCAACAAACCCAATTTTAGCAGATAAACAAAAAAATTGTACGTGTCACAGGTTTCAAGGCGGATAAATTAGTTACCTTTACCTAGTTCATAATCATTCGATTGTAATTCTACAATCAATTTCCTGCAATGACTATTACCCATCCATATCAAGGTTGGTAATTAACTTTCATGTTCGTTCTATAATATCGGATAAAATAAATGAACTGGGAATACTTTTATCAATTTTATCAAATAATATCAAATATATTGTGATCAACGTGTTGAATAAATTTCCCTTAAATGGTAATTCATATGTAACATTGATCGAAAAAAAAAATTTATCAATCAAAGATTCAACCGATTTAAAAATATAAAGGCATCTTTTCAATAAAAGGATCTAAAAAATGCCTTTTTTATATTGTGTGACAAATGAATCTGAAGGTTGATGAACTTTTTTCGTTCGAACTGTCTGAATCACGTGAATGGATGTACCATAAAATATTTCTTTATATGGGTAACAAAGATTGACGCAGCACACGAGGTCATACAAACCCTTGAAGTGTATTACAAGTCAATGCACCGCAATAAAGGAAAAGAGATTTTATTATTGGTACCAGGGTGTTCCAATATTGTTCATTGCAGATTGAATATTATTTTGAATATCATTGTTGGATATAAAATTTATGGTTAAAACGCTGTTGTACTAGGATAATTTTGGCTAGTGATGTATCAATTGTTGTGAGCGGTTATTCTATTTGCAATGATCACAAAATTTGTTTCATATTATTAAACTTTAATGGTGTTCTTATTGATTTCCCTCTATTAGCTTATACGTTTCTTTTTATGAATGAACGATCTAGGCATGAAACTAAAAGGCCCTAGCACCGTCTTGTCCTCTTTTGCATATGAACGGATCCTCCTTTAGCTTCGACACATTTTTTCAAATGAAAAAAAAAAGGTTACGTGTTGCATATTAAACTGAACAAATTTTATTCCAGCATTGATAATTAAAAATTAAATACCAGTTATTTCGTGGTAAAGTTTTTTTGATCGTATTTTAATATTACAATGTCTTATACTTTTTCTCGTGACAAAATAATTTTCAAGAAAATGAAATCCATGAAAATAGCTAGTGCTCTTGGGCAAGTTCAACATCATCTAATAGAAATTGTGTAAAGTACTGTATATATGTATATATACTGTATAATTTTTTACATCTTTTATTTTTCTTCACTGCTCTAATTACAAAATTATCAATTGTATGAACCAATTCGGCTATATAAAAAATCTGGACATATAATTAAACATCATATTGTTTTTTCTAGATTGTTGATCGGCCTTGGTAAGAATTCACATAGCAAATTCCAAGTTTTGGCGTATTTATAGCTTATATATCAATATTAATGAAAAAAGTCATAATTTCAACATGTTTGAAATTAAAAAATTATAATTTGGGGTAGCATTAGGCAGGCTTTTTAAAGTAAAATTTCGTTTGAATAAGTCGAGTTTCGACTTCAAGTTCGGTCAGTCTATAAAACTAAGAATGCTTTGAAAAAGTGTCTTGTATGACTCTTTTATACTCACGTTAATCATCGGAACGTAAGTTTCAAAATTCGTCATAACATGTATACAGATATCGAAAATTGATAAAACTTGTTAAATTCAAACCGAAATTAGTTAAACCAGCTTAAGTAATGAAAATTAGCATCATTGCCCTTGAGATTATAGACATTCTTCTTTTTTAGTAATTCCAAATTGGTACAGATCAGTTTTGGCGAGTTACTATGTATTCTGTGGACAGGCAGGGCTGAAATTGTGAATGTTAAAAAGTGTTTTACGCAAACGTAAATAAATGACTGACCGCCGTGATTTCAAAAATTATATTCGGACTTCAATAAGAATTCAAATTCCTTTCTTGTAAAACAAAAATTCTTTTGTAATAAGCAAAAAAATTTATACACCGGTACTGATTAATAATAATAATGATCTGTGCCATTAAAAAATTTTAGTTAATCCAAAGAAATAAAAAGAAAAAATTGTTCAACGAAAATGATTAAAAATGATCAATACTAAATAAAATCCAATCACAAATTTTTTTAAAAAACTAAATTTTATAAAACATTCTTACCTGAAAATTTAATTATGACTTCTCAACTTGTCAATAGAAATTTTCATTCAAGTTGGAAATTTGGTTAGAATACAATGTACAAAACAATATCCTAAAATAATATGTAAAGGCCAGATTTTTAGTATTTAGGCATTTTCCTTTTAGAAAGTAAAATTCCAAAATATTATTAATAATATGTAAAGGCTTAAGCATGAATTGATATGGCAAATCAGTGAAGTTCAGTCCTTTGATAACATTATTTTTTATAATAGTGTCTTAAAATCTTTGATTTAAAAGTTTAATGAAAGTTTTTCAGACAGTTTCTAATAAAGTAATAAGACAGATATTGTTTATTGGCAATTCTAAGGTTTTAGCTTTGGAATTGAATAAATAAATGCAAATTTCATTAAATAGGAGTTTAGTTGCTAACTAAACAAGTACAAATAATGTTATAAAGAAAAATTTTTGCATTTAGGATCAAGTTTCTTATTGGATATTTTAGTAAGGCCTGTGGCTTTATAATTAGGTAATTGTTTGATAACTTTGTTCTAATAATTCACAAAAGGAATATCTAATAAGAAATTATTAGTGTTATCAGAAATATTATCAATTAGTTCATAAATATATTCTTATAGAGATCAGTTTTGAGAAAAATTATTTGAAAGGGAATTAATAATATCTTTATTAGTAAACTTACAATAGTATAAAATGGTTAACCATATAAAATTTAATTAAATCTAGATCTAAAATTAAATATTAGTTAGATATGTTATGATTGATTATTAACCAATCAAAAATAATTACTTTTTAATTTCTTTTAAGATAAAAATTGATTATTTTATTAGTACATCTTTAAAATTATTAATATGTTAAATAAATTTACAAATGCAGTTATTATTTTCAGTGTTACTGATTAAAAGCTATTTAACTTACAATAGTTTAATAATGTCATATTTTAGTTCATACATATATAATATAAATTAATTACTATTAAAATATTCATTAAGAAAGTCTTTAAATAACTTAAAATATTAATAATTAAAAAATGATTGTATTAAATTACAAGAAAAATAGTCTATTAGAAAGTTAAATTATTCAGTTTTATTAATTTTTATTTATAAAAATTTAATATAAATTATATTTTTCATTTTTTAATTATAAGCCTATAATGTGTAATTTCATTGATTCTATCAAATTTTTTTTTGAGTTTTTTTTTCTAATCCTCTTTCATAAATTATTCTAATTCATTTAAAATTTTTTGGTTATAGTTTTTTAATATTTCCCTTAATGATATTTTATAAATTTTCTATTAAATTTAAATCTGAACTATTAGAAGATTAATCAATTACTATATAAAGGCATTTTTTTTTAGAAATTGCTTTAGCTACTTTATTTTTATACTTAGGATCATTATCATATTAGAACTGTTAATGATTTCTATATTATTTTTAATTTAAAAAAATGTTTTTTTTAAAAATTTTAACATAAAATGAACTATCTATTATCTTTTGAAAATAAAATTACCTTGTCTTTCCTTTTATTTAAAATCTATTTTAAATATAAATAAGGAATAAAACTCCTTAATAATAGTTAAACTTAGATAAAACTATATTAAAATTATAATAAAGAATACAACAAAATTTTTTGAGATATAACAAAAGCTGAAACTGTTAAAACTATATTAATACTATATTTTAAGAAGGTTTTGACAGGTATCTATAGTCTTAAGTAAAATTTTTTTTTATCTTTTGAAATTTGCTATACTGAATATTTATCTTTATATCAATATTTTACTATATTCCTAAATAATTAAAAAGCTATTTTATCAAAATATATTATTCAATTTTAATTATTATTAAGATATTTTTGCATTCACTCTATACAACTTTAAATATATTTTTTAATAAGCATAAGTATCACCTCTACTCTATTTTTTTATAACTAAGTTAGCTTAAATAATTTTAAATGATTACATAAGAAGCTTAGACTTCTTTTTTTAATAATTTTATGATAAGTGCTTTTGATGATATTTCAGAATTCTTTTTTACTTCTCAAACTAATATTTTAGAACTTTCAGAAGAGATTTTGAAGGATAATTACTATGTTTGTAAACTACATTTCTATTTTTTTTTTTAGTTTAAAAATATTATAATATATAGTAGATCTTAGAAGATCTGTTTACTTTATAATTTCTTTTACATTTTTTTATTCTCCTATTCCATAATTCTTGAATGATTTTTGCATATACGTTTTGATGAATATTTATATTTTATTTATTTTTTTAAAAAAAAATGTAGTAATAAATTTCATATTATAAAGAAAAAAGATTAATTCAATTATCAATAAATATTATTTTAGTTGTTAGAATTTAACTTAAAATAAAAAATTTATGTAAATCTAACTAGTCATAAGAAATTATCTAAAAACTTTTTTAATATGTTATATAATATTTAACTACAGTTTTAAAAATAAAACTAGAAAATAAAAATCGTTATTGAGTCTGAAGTAATTTTAATACTTTCTAAAATCAGAGATTTTATTTGTTAAAGATCATGTATATAAATA